ATTGATTCCATAAAACATAAAATGATCTGTACAAGAAAGACGAAAAAAAGATCTTCTTGCTTTCGACTCTGGGGAGGAATCTATGGATCCTATCTTTTCCATCTATCTTCTTTCCACTGGAATTCTGTGTCTTAACAGCCAAGCTCTATGGGACAAGACATAATCTTATCAGAGCCGACAGGATGAGATCACATCCTGCAGTAAAGCCCTGTGCCTGGGTTAATTATTTCACTAGCAGTGGTTTGGGTTTTTAAACAACTTTATTGAGACATAATTCACATACTATAGAGTTCACCCATTTAAAGTGTACAATTAAGTGGTTTTGGTATATTCACCAAGTGGTGTGGCTATCTCCACTGTAATTTTAGAATATTTTTGTCACCCCCAAAAGAAACCCCATACCCATTAGCAATCACTCCCATTCTCCATCCCTGCCAAGCCTAGTCAACCACTCATCTACTTTCTGTTCTGCCTATTTCGGAGAAATGGCAGCGTACAAGACTTAGCATCATGTCTTCAAGGTTCGTGCATGTGGCAGCACGTGTCAAACTTTCTTTCCTTTTTGTTGCTGAATAATATTTCATTGTAAGGATACACCACATTTTATTTATTTGTTCATCAACTGACACTGGGTTGTTTCTTCTGTTTGACTATATGAATAGTGCTGCTATTGTGTACAGGTACAAGTCTTTGTGTGAACATGTGTTTTTATTCCTCTTGGGTCTAGCAGTGTCTTTTTTTTTCTCTTAAAGATCTACTGCAAGAATTTATGTATATGTGTGTGTATATACACACAAGGCAGACATAAAGTTCACGTGCAATTTACTACGTTAAACTATTTTAAATTGCACATGACATTTATGTCCACCCGGTGTATCCCCGCCACCACCATCCCCATCATAACCTCTTGAAGAAGTGAACAGGCTGGGCTCCTGAAGCCCTCGGAGCTCTCACATCCTGTCCAGGACCTTCTGTGTGATCCCGGGGCACTACCCATTCTCACTGTCCTTCCGTTGTGCTATCAATAGCAGGAAGGGGAGAGCACCAGCTCTTTGATCTTCTCATAGGATCTTGAGAAGATAAATGAAATGACATAAATCGATAGGATCTGGTCTTTTGAAGATACTAACCCATGTGAACGGGCTACTATGAATCAGAGAAACAAGACGCACCTGGACCAAGGTGTGCAGCACATGGATGTCCAGGTCAGCCAAGAGGCCAGTGGCTTGATGTGGGGACACAGGATTAAAAAACATAATCATCTGGCCAGGTGCAGTGGCTCATATCTGTGTCCTAGCACTCTGGGAGCCTGAGGCAGGAGGATCCTTTGAGCTCAGGAGTTTGAGACCAGTGCGAGCAAGGGCAAGACATCATCTCTCCTAAAAATAAAAAAACTAGCCAGGCCGTGTGGTGGGCAGCAGTAGTCCCAGGTACTGGGGAGACTGAGACAGGAGGAGAACTTGAGCCCAGGAATTTGAGGTTGCTATGAGCTATGATGCCATGGCCCTCTAGCCTGGGCAAAAGAGTAAGACATTATCTCAAATTAAAAAAAAAAATATTATCGGGTGGTGCCTGTGGCTCAAAAGAGTAAGGCACTGGCCCCATATGCTAGAGGTAGTGGGTTCAAACCCAGGCCTGGCCAAAAACTGCAAGAAAAAAAATTATCATAATTTTCTCTAAATTTTGGTTTCCTTTGAAATGGAATTTGCTTTGCCTTCCAAATTTTGCCAGCCACCCTCGGAGAGAGGGCCCCAGCCAGTGGCAGGAGCAAGAGCTGGGCTGTGGATAGCGACTGGCAGCCAGAGCAGCAAGCTTAAGTTCTAAGGCTCGCCCTCCAGCTAACATTTCCCCCAAGACCATCCTACCTCGTTTAATTAAAAAGCACTGCACCCCACTCTCTACAGACCCAAGAGCCCCCTCCTTTTGTGAAGTCCCAGTCTTCTTGTTGGCTCCCTCACCCCTGGGTAGAATCTAATAAGGGTCCCCTGCCCCGTCCCTGAATAGAAATACTGAGAGCCAAGGTGGCAGAAGAGGGGTCTAAAATGCCTGCACTTTCTTATGCTGTCTGACCAGTCACCTGCCCCTTGCTCTTTACAGGAAATTCCACTAACAGGCATGTAAATAATAAATAGACTAGGAAATGAGATGGTGGGCATCCTGGGTTCTAATCACCACTTACTAGCTGTATGATCTAAGGCAAGTGATTCAATTCTTGGAGACTCAGTTTCCCCATCTATATAATGGGATCACAGCAGTTCTTGCCTCCTAGGATCATTGTGAGCCTTGAGATGAACTTGTAGGGGCTTCAGCATACATTCCAAGCTCACCGTTTGCTTTTTGAGATAGAGTCTCACTATGTCACTCTTGGTAGAGTGCCATGGCATCACAGCTCACAGCAACCTCAAACTCCTGGGCTTAAGCAATTCTCTTGCCTCAGCCTCCCAAGTAGGTGGGACTACAGGTGCCTGCCACAACGCCCGGCTATATTTTGGTTGTAGTTGTCATTGTTGTTTAGCAGGCCCAGGCTGGGCTCGAACTGCCAGCCTCGGTGTATGTGGCCGGCACCCTACTCACTGAGCTATAGGTGCTGAGCCATTTACTATATGATTTTAGTTTATTTGTTCATTTAATTTTTGAAGCAGAGTCTTGCTCTGTTGTCTTTATTAGCGTACAGAGGTACATAGCTTGCTGCAACCTCAAATTCCTGGGCTCAAACAGTCTTTCTGCCTCAGCCTCCTGGAGTGCTAGGATTATAGTGACAAGCCACCACCTCCCGCCTTTATTACTTTTAAAATCAGAATTAAGGACCCTGAGAAATGTATCCATTCTCCCTAAACTATTTAAGGAGGCGGATTTTCTTTTGGTTAATTACCTGGACTCAATCAGACACCTACCATGTCTTTGATACCACAGAGAGGACTGGGGACAAAACTTAATTCTCCCCTGGAAATGTAAAATTCAAACAATAGACTTCAATCCTGACAGTTAATGCCATCGAGGTTCAGACATGGAGACAGCAGAGGAGTCTGAAGGGCCAGAGAAGGCCTCCGAGGGGAGGCGGGCCCACAGTGGGCCCTTGCAGGGTGAGAAGAGTTCACACTGCAGAGGAGAGGACTGCAGCAGGGAGCACGGGGGTCAGGGCAAGGGAGACCCATGTGAGCATAGGCAATCGGGGGGCCCAGGCAGGTCAGGCAGGGTGGGTGGTCCGGGACAGAGCCACAGACATGTCTTTCCTACCATCAGGAATCTAAAGGAAGGCTATGCCGTGGGATCTTTTAGTTACCTATTCCACTAATTATTATCCTTCCTCTGAGATATTCTGTCACTAAGAAATTTTTGTGGCTCGGCACCTGTGGCTCAAGTGGTTAAGGCACCAGCCACATACACCAAAGGTGGCAGGTTCGAATCCAGCCTGGGCCTGCCAAACAATGATGGCTGCAACCGAAAAATAAAATAGCCAGGCATTGTGGTGGGCACCTGTGGTCCCAGCTACTTGGGAGGCTGAGGCAGGAGACTCGCTTGAGCCCAGGAGTTGGAGGTTGCTGTGAGCATGATGCCACAGCACTCTACCCAAGGGGACAGCTTGAGGCTCTGTCTCCAAAAAAAAAAAAAAAAAAAAAAGGAAATTTTTGTGACATGGAAGAGGGAGAAAGAAGGAGAAGAAGTTATATTGGAGGAGCTTTGACTCTGAATCTAGACCATTGCACAGAAAGCAACAGAGAGGGGCCACCACTGACCTTGGCCATGGTGCATGCAGCCCCTGTTCTCCTGGGATGAGCACCTTGACTGTCTCTGGGAAAGCACACCTTCAGTGCTTTCAGTCCGAGAGGTCTGGGGTTGGGAATGACTCTACCCACACACAGGGATGGGCCCAGTACCCACACTGGCTCTGAGGTGTGACCCAGAGACTCCAGCTAGAGCCACTGGGAAAGGCAAACACCTGTTCTTGTAGGGTGGCTGTGCCCATACAATGTCAGCAGGAGCTGATGGTATCTTGGTACCACAACAGGCAAATCTCCCAGGAAACAGAATGACACAGGATGCAATGCTAAGGAAGGGACAGAGATTCAGGATGCCATCATCTGGGCACCGGGTCCTGCCGTAAGAAAACCTTGGCTTGTTCAAGTTACATGAACAAAAATCTTCCTCTTTTTTCTTCTCTTCAAACTGGGTTTTAGTCTTTGGTCACTAAGGAATCCTGACTTATTCAAGTAACTACCTTATTCCCGTAAGAATTTTGTTGCACTCTCATCAGCATGGATATCTACTGTCCATTGTCTGGCATGGCCTGTATCCAGGATAACAGAAGGCATCTGCAAGTGATAATGGCATCTGTATGTGTCCCTGAATAGACACAGGTACGTGTGGTACCCTGTGCCTATATCTGTAACAGAGACGTTAGAGGGAGAACAAGACTCTGCAAATGTCCTTATCCTCTTGGCTTACAGAGCAATTCTCCCCAAACTCCTGATTTTATCCCTCTTGTTCTCAACCACAGCAGATATTTTGTGGAGCTCCAAGGAGCCAGAGAGTGATGGGGAGGGGAGGTGTTGGAGGGAAAGGAGGCTCTGCATATCCTGTTTTTTTTTTTCTTCTTCCAGTAACAATAACAAAGACTCAGCTGGCATCCTTTTATTTTCTATTTCATGCAGTGCTTTTTAAAACAAAGCATTAACTCTACCATAATGGGATTTGCCTAATGATTTCCTGGTAATAAATGTCCTTTTGGATCTCAGCAAAGATAATTTACTTGGTAGGAATCACTTCCCGCTTCTCCGCTAAGAATCAGACCTACCCAATTCTTTCTGGGGGCAAACTGGCCTTTGAATGAGAGAAGAGAGTACAGGAATGTTTGATGAATAGACTCCAGCCTGCCACAGACCCAGATCAGAGAGGGGGAAAAGGAGGCGGGGTGGGGAGAATGTCCGTGCTGTGCACAAGCATGAAGCCAAGCGGAGAGTGTAGCGACCTGAGCCCCTCGCACAAACAGACGCACTCACCTCTTTGCCTTGGCTCTGGGTGCTTTCTTTCCGGGGCAGTGACAGCTTTGCAGCGTCCACACTGTATAACCAGGACTGCTGCAGGCAGGCTGCTGCAGGAGGAAGGGAGTTCCCATTCACCACTAGAAGGGAGTGTCCTCTAAGGAAAGGAGGCGATGCCCTTATTCCCCTGGAATGGAGGCTGTTGGATCCACTTGTCCTCTTTCTCCTACTCCCTTCCTTGTGTGAATGGTGCTCAGAAGAGTCCCAAGAACTGAGGTGAATGAAACCACTCTCCACGCTCACCCTGACAGCCTTGGGGAGCCCAGGAAGGGAGGCCACCTTCTAGGGCCCCTGCAAGTGCAGCTGACACTGGTGCACCCACAGAAAGCCCAAGGACAAGCACTTGTGTATTTATTTCTCCCCCTCTCATGTGATCTTAGTTTTGGACTGAGCACAAAAGCTATTTGAGGTCTGGACAGCTGCCAGGTAAAAGGACAACTATGTCCTCCAAGTCGCCTCCGTGCCTCTCTCTGAACACTAGTCCCTGCTACCTTCCCAGGAGAGGCAGAAAGGTGGGGTGGGTCTTGCTCCCAGCCTTACTTTTAGTCCACCCGAGCAAGTTGTCCAACTATTTTTTTCACCACACTTTAAGATTTCATAGAGACTAAATGTCATGAAAAAAGTCATTACTTTTATGTCTTTTTAAATCTTTTTTAAGGCAGGTACTTCTGAGGCTGGGGGTGGTCTGTCACACAGTCCTCATGCACACAGTTTAGATACAGAGACCACTCATCAGCGCCCATCCTGGACGGCATACGTAGGTGCCGTGAAACAAACACATCATCCTGCCTTCCGCCCTGGCTATTTCTGCTTTTGACTCTTAGGCTTGTAAAACTTATGACATTGAAATACCTTGATTTTTTTTTCTTTTACCTGTGATTTTTCCTTCTCACACATAAATGGAAAGTTTTGAAATAGTCATGCTTGACAAAATGTCAATTCAATATCATCATAGTCATTAGTATTATTTATTGAGCTCTTGGTAAATGCCATTCATATGCTGAACACTTTTTGCTGCATTGTCTTATTTGATTTCACAATATCCCTACTGGGAGTCTAATCTTGCTCCTATTTGACAGAGGAGCTGATGTCTGGAAGGGTTCATAACCTGAGCTTCAGAAAGGTTAGGTGAGATGCATTTCCCAACTGACTCCAGAGTTAGACCTCTTGCCGCTTTGCCCTACTGTCTCCTGAAGATATAAATTGTTCTAATTTCACTGTTGTTTTCCTTTTATACAAGGAAAAACAAAACCTTATTCTTGATTCAGACCCATAATTGCAATCCTTGATTTATTTCCTAAATTCAGTTTTTGAAAGGAAGAGAATAAGGTTTTTGTTTATTTACTGCCCCAGGCCCTGATTCTTCTAGGTATAAGATGGAGACTCTCTGGCCTCCATGCTCATTGGAGCCATTTTCCTATGAACAATTCACTGTGCAAATACTCACCAGAGAGGACTGGGCTGGGCCCTGCCTGGGCGAGGCTCCAGCATCTTAGCAGCACTGCGGATTCTGCTGTCCTGAGGGAGAGCAAGTGGGCACAACAGCTTGTCCAACACTGCCCTCTGCAGGTGACTAGACTGCATCGCCCCAGGATGGGTGTCTTCACGGCTTTCCAAGGAGCACACCCAAGATTATTTTTAGGGAGTCAGTTTCCAGGTTCTCCCTCCCTTCCTCC